TGGGGATTCGGGGTGTTACAATTTTTAGGTAACAGTTTTGATATCAACTAAAATGATTTAGGTCAAAACCCACCACTAGTCTAACAACTCTTCAAACCAAAGTTCACAAACCTTCAAAAACTTAAACTCAAGTTACTAATAATGGTTGATTTCTACATTTATATATTAAACTCACTCACAATCCCACACTGATGTGGGATTCTAGGTGTTACAGGGTAGTTCATATTAGAACTTGAATTTGTACTCTTAGTAAGAATTAATAACTCCACTTGAATATGGTGTAAATATGTATTATATAATTTATCATCTAATATACTAAAAGAAATATTTGTTAATGGAAAATTTAAGATGAATGACGAAGATGCACCTTTGGTTAGAAAATTCCATCCCCCAATGAGTTGATGAGCAGTAAGCAAGAAGTTAAAGATGTAAGGAGAATTTTGGGAGAGAATTCTTAGAGAGATTAAGATTATTTAGAGGAGATATAAAGGATCTTATAATATTGCACTTCCTCTATCCCAAAAAAATTATCATTTTTTAAAATAGACAAATATTTTTTTTTCTCACTTTAAGTAAAGGATTTTTCTAACATGTGCCATTGTGCTTTAAGATATAGGTTAAAGGTATAATTAATACACTTTTTAACCATTGAGTCATATGAAAAAACAAAAAATTTGATATTAATTTTAACATCAATGCCACATATAGTAATTTAATTAGTTAGCTGTTAAACTTAATGTCAAATTTTTTTTATGCAACTTAATGAATAAAAGGTGTATTAATTGCATTCTTAAGGGTATGTGTTAAAAAAAAAAAAAACCTTTAAGTAAATTATCACTACAAAAAAAACCACATTCAATGACTAGTTTATTGGTCACTAAACCTTTATTTTCTATCACAAAATAGAATTAGTGATAAAATTTAGATCGTTAGTAAAAGCTTTGTCACAAAAGCTTTGTCACTAATGCTTTTAGTGATGAATTTGGCACCTATTGCAGAAAAAAATTTTACAGTGATAGAAAAAATCAATATTATTAATAAGTTATTTGTAACAATTTTATTCATCACAAAAATCATCTTTTATTACAAAAATTTTTGTCACAAAAGTTACAACTGAGTGATAAAAAAATTGTCACAAATGCAATTAAATATCTTTGATGAAATATTTGACTATTAATTATTTAAACTGATATTGAACCAAAAAGGGTATTTATGTAATTACAACATCTATTTGTGACGAAAAAATCTCTTCACAAAAATAGTTAATACAAACATCAATGAATCAGTTTTCTCACAAAAATTCTATCCCAAAATTAAAAGGGGGAAAAAAAAACCCTTTCCTCAAAACCATGGTTGAAAATAATTTTTCAATTATAAAAATACTTTTTTCAAATTTATAACAAAATTACCTTAAAGATAATTAATTTTTAAATAGAAATTTATTAAGTTTTTTATTTTTTGGCGGCAAAGGAAATATTAAAGTAAAATGATCAATTGATAGTTTTAATTATACTAAATTATTACAAAATAAAATCAATTAAAAATACAAGCCAAGAAAAATAATGAAATGCAAAAAAAAGAAAAAAAAAATACAGGTCACAATATGGTTGCTAGTCATGTCCACTTCCTTTTCTCTAGTGAAGGATCAAATAAACATGCTGTAAGCAAATTGCAGCATGTGCTACGCTCATTCTTGCGTTTTCCTTCTTGCGGGTTTGGAGGAAGCCAATCCTTGGACACCTTTTCTCTCGATCGTTTCTTGGCCAAAACCTCCCGCCATCGGTTCATGGTCTTGGCTAAGATTAATTTTACAATCTTTAAGTTATCAATTGGAAATAAAAAATGATCTATATATATACTGAAAAAATATAGTAGAAAAATGTACATGAAGGAATTGAAATAAAAAATAAAAATAAAAAGAGTGTTAAAATAGTAAAATTTTATTTTTTTGATCAGTGAGGAAAAGTGAATTTTATTAAAGGAATATGACATCATACAAAAACACTTTAGTGACTTTGCATACCTGCATTAGTGCAAATTTTCTCCTCTCCCATATAACAAATTCAATGAAATCATTGTCACAGTTGAACGTCCATCACAAATTCAAGTTCCTCATCCTATATTTAAAAATTAAATTACCAAAAAGATTAAATTAGTACTGAAAAAACTACATCTTCAAATCATATCCAAACACAAATTCATACCATGTCACCATGCTGCTTAAATGTAAATTGAAGCAGTTATGGAGTGTAAATCAACATACTGACTTGAATATGATAAAACTCATTCTAGTAATTAATTGAGAATGGTTAGAAAGGCATCGTTATGCTCCCTCATGAATGCCCTGTTCTAGGGTTACAATTCCTCTACAATTGCTCTCCCTCTTCCAAGCAACCATTTTCCTCAGAGTTCTAGTGCTATATATGGATCCTAACGCCAGACAAGAGTGAAAAATATTACATATCTATGGTTAGGCTGCATTGGGAACGAATACTTGGTTAAAAAAAGAGAAAGAGAGAGAGGGAGAGAGAATGAATATTTACAAATAATGGTGTTTGTATATCTAAATCAATTTTGAAAGAGTAAAATAAAAATTTTTTTCAGGAACCGTAAAAAGAGAGATTTAATCTTATAAAAATTAAGTATATCGTGAATCTTGATTATCTTAACTGATTTAATTAAGTAGCACAAAATAAGGAATTGTAATTAGTTAAAATATGTAATTCTAAAAGATATAGTAGGATAAGGATATATTTTAGTTGATTCGATCAAAAAGATATATAGATTTTGTTGATTTTTTTTTTAATTTTTTGAGGAGTTGTTGATATTCATGTAGGATAAAAATATATTTCATTGATCTTGAAATAACTTTATCTCAAATTAATTATCATTTTTTTTATTTTTTAAGATAAATCAATATATATATTTTTTTAATTTTAATCTTATCATTATCTATTTATTTTAATTGATTATCTTATTAAAAAAATCTCACTTTACTAGCTCTTTCACTTAGAATACAACATTTAATCCTTGAAATGGATTCTTTAATGGCAGTACAGTTGATACAAACAAGGAAGATCGGGAATGGATCTTTTTCTGTCCTACTGGCTGATATTCTAGCCTTGTTGGATGCCTTCACTGTTTGCCTGGTTCAACACACACTCCGCGAAAGAAATGCTGCTGCAGATTTTGTGGCTGCTTTAATTGGGTCATAATTCTACCCCGTGTGTATCATCTTATTTCAAGATCCACCGGTTGGGATCAGTATGATCATGCAAGGTGACTGTGTTGGGGCTTCATCCTCAGAGTTTAAACTCTAATTTAGTTTCCCATATATCAAAAAAAAAATAATAATAATCTTACTTTATCTTTTAGTTTTTTTTAAGGGTAATATAAGTAAATATATGAATTATCATCAAATCCTTAATTTAGAAATTTTTTTTAAAAAAATAGTTATTTTGAACCACATGGAGTATATAACAAAATTAATATTTTTATTATTTCATTTTCTTAAGTAATCTATATTTGTTATTATCGTGAGTGTTTTTTTTAATATTATGCTACAATTAGTTTTTTTTATATACATATATTCTATTATTAATGGTAGCTGTAGCATGGAGTTAATTAGGTGATGGAAAGATTACGGTGGATTGGAGGATGTTTGGATTGAAGGGTTTTAGTGATGAAAAAATTAGGTACAATTGGTGATTTTATTTGTTTTACGCCTATTACATAATTATAAAATATAATATTTATTTTGAATAAAAATCTATCATAAATAGTATTTAGTATTTGTGACTAAATATTGATATTTGTGACTAACAATTTTTCAATCATAATTATTTATTTCATAGTAATGATTGTTTATAGTCACTAGTTTGTAATATATTTGTAACTATTCTTCATTGACAAAATATCTCTTTAGTTACGAATTTATTTCGTCAACAATAAATATGTACATATTTGTGACTAATATTTTAAATCTATTATAATTGTAATGAGTTATAATGATGATTTTCATAGTCACAAACTTATATTGTACTTGAGATTATTTTTCAGTAATGAAATATTTTTTTAGCTACAAATTTATTTCATCAAATTTAAGCATGTGTATATCTATGACCAATATTTGCAATCTATCACAATATTGTGATGAGTTATAATGATGATTTTTATTATCAAAAACATATATTATAATTATGACTATTCTTCAATGACGAAATATCTTTTTAATAATGAATTATTTTCATCAATATTAAATATGTGTGTATTTGTGATCAATATTTAAAACCTGTCACAATTATGATGGGTTACAGTGACAATGTTCAAATTCATCACAAATTTTCATCACTAAAAACCCTTTTTCTTAATATATATTAGTTAACTTTTATGGGTTTTTTAACTGATCTTATAATATTGAAGATGTAATTAATGCATATTTTTTATATTAGTGGGTGTTGAAAAATAAAAAACTAGACATTAATTTACCATTAATGTCGTGTGGTTTATTTTAATTATTTAACTAATTAAAAAATTTTCAACTTTTATTTTTCAATTCCAATTAATATAAAAGATATAATAATTACATTCCTATAATCACAATTAAAAAGTAATATAAGTAAAAAAAAATATAAATTATACTCAAATTCTTAATTCTTGAATTCTTTAAAAAAAAAAACTATTATTATAGAATGAATGTAGTAATAACTAATAATTTTTTCCCAACAATTAAGATGAAAGCTAAACTTTTAGGACTTGTTTGTTTTGAAGAAAGAAGATGAGAGGGGAATAGAAAAGAGAATATTTCAATCAATTAAATTAATTCAACATAAATAATTTGCTACTAAAGTTTGATTAAGGTATTGACCAATGAAAATTATTTTTAATCAGGGGCTAATTAAAATTGCCTATTTTTCCATTCTGTAGTCACCAAGACTATTAAATCGCCTATTAAATTTGGCAAAAGACTTTTTATAAGTCTTTGTACTCATTGTGAAATTACTTGGAAGATCGTACTTTAGTTTCTATCAGTTTCACCATTGTCTTCTACTGTAGATAAGTCCTCCTTCCTCTGATCAATTTTAGAAGAAGGCTGCAATTAGTAATATTGAATCCCAAAATGCTGACTCTCACCATGTTCTTCATCTCACTCTTCCATCTCCTCCTCCCGACAACCGCCACCTTCGCCTACAATGCCACTGACATCATCCTCCTCGACTGCGGTGCACCGTCCAACACTAGATCAACATTGGATGGCCGCAACTGGGTTGCCGATATCAGCTCTAGATATTCCCCCTTCAATGATCAAAACTCATCAATTTCTTCCAAAGCCTCCCACCAATACTCTTCGGTTCCCACAGTTCCATACCTCTCTGCACTCATCATTAAATCTAAATTCAACTACAGCTTCCATGTCTCCCCTGGCCCAAAGTTCCTTCGTCTTTACTTCTACCCAGAAAAATACTCCACTTTCAACGTGGCCACTTCCTTTTTCTCCGTTACTGCCAATAGCTACACCCTCCTGAAAAATTTCAGTGCGCATATGCATCTGATGACCAACGAGGACTTCTTGATCAAAGAATTCGTTGTTCCTGTGTGGGACAATGAGATTCTTAATGTTACTTTCATCCCTTCTTCGAACTCTTATGCTTTCATTAACGGTATTGAAATCGTTTCCATGCCAAGCGGCCTCTACCTAAGCGGTAGGGAAATCCCACTCGTGGCTGGAGTCGTTGGCAAATCCTTCTCTTTGGATAATATAACCACCTCACTTGAGACTCTTTATCGGCTGAACGTTGGCGGAATCCGCATTGAGAATGTGAAGGATACAGGAATGTATCGAACTTGGGGTCAAGATGAAGGTTACCTTGTCGGATCAGACTGGACTAGTCCACTTTTGAACAAATCCAAGCCGCTTCAATTTACAGCAAGCACACCGGCATACACCGCACCTGAGGAAGTTTACACTACTTCGCGTATGATGAGCAACGATTCTTCGTTCAATTCGAAAGCCAGCATGACCTGGAAGTTCTCTGTTGATGCGGGGTTCTACTACCTCGTCAGGCTTCATTTCTGTGAGCTTTTAAAGGAGGTCACAGGCCCTGGTCAACATGTCTTCGACATATTCATCAACAATCAAACAGCGGAAAAATGCATAGACGTGTTTTCTATGAGCGGCGGCAATGGATTTCCGATGTACATAGATTATATTGTTATGGCTGACAATGGGATGCAAGGAAAGGACCTCTGGCTAGCGCTGCACCCTCAAAACGCAGTATATGTTGATTCCTTTTTGAATGGTTTAGAGATTTTTAAACTGAATCAATCTGATGGTAACCTAGCTGGACCTAATCCTGACCCAATTTCTAGTCCTGCACCTCCGGTCTGGCACCAAAGGTTATTGGAGAGCCCAAAGACTAAAATAACATCAACAATTTTGCCGATCATTGGAGCTATTCTCGGTGGTTTTGCTCTGTTTTCTCTCCTCCCAAGCTTTTTCGTTTTCCAGAGACGAAGAAAACTGAAGAACAGATCAAAGTTGTTTACCATGAAAACCTCCCCCTCGTTACCTTCCAATATCTGTCGTCACTTCTCAATCGACGAGATCAAAGTGGCCACTCAAGATTTCGACGAGACA